CAATTCCACCATATGGCCATATTGTGTTAAGCCCACCACCATGTCACAGTACCCTAGTATCAGTTGGTCCTACACTATTTTTAACATTTATGCTCTTTCTTAATCTGTATTTTGCACATACAGATACAGACATTCAGATACATACACTGACACACATGAAGTTACACAGACATACACACAGACACGCAAACATTGACACATAGACACCCATGCTGGTACCCATTTTTTGCCACTCTCTAGTTTCCTACCTTTTCGGAGAAGGAAGGTCCCTGGGGTCCAGTCTGTTGGCTGAGGCTGTTGAGTCACTACATTCGCCACCCAATAAGCCCTGTGTGTAGCCGCACTGGCGGTAGTTCCGCTGCTGCTTGTCTTAGCTCCTCTGCATGTGGCTTACACAATCTACATTTCCTGTAAAGATAGAAATCTAGTGTTTAGGCTTCCTTTATTGTACCATCTGTTTAATGTGGAATTTCTTCTGCTGTTATTAGCATGGTAGAGCCTGCAGGAGCCTTGTGTGTGATAAAAGTTTGATTAACAGAGCAGGAGATTGAAACCTCTTAAGTAAACACAGTGCTGTCACATCTACTTGAAAATAAAAACATTTTTGCTGCATAAACAGTTGATTTAACTTCTAAGGAGCAGAGACCTGAGCAGTGAGATTGTGGAGGCATGACATATACACCAAAACTGCTTCATTAAGCTAAAGTTGTTTTGGTGCTTTGAGTATCCATTTAAAAGATTGGAGAATTTCTCAAACATATATTTGATAAATTCTTCAACCTTTTAATGGGATAACACAATTTGCAAATTCAGCTTTTAGTTGGTCTATTTAGTGAATTCTACTCTTTGATCTGTCAGTTTTTTAAACACACAAAAAGGTCTTTCATTTGTACAAGCAAGTTTAATTTTTGCAGAAGTAATCTCCTGTGCTTTGTATACTCACTGATAAACAAGCACGTACAATATTTAATGTGACATTTAGACATCTCAGGTTCTTTTAAGATATGAATATCTACAATTTTTTTTAAATCCGCAAGTAGAATAGTTTTCTTGTCAGTCTATTTCTTGTAGAACACAGCCATATATATTATTTCACCTTTAAGAAACCATAAAGATTTTTCTTCTGAGTAGACAAGTGTACAACATCATGCTTTAGCTACTTGGCATATAACTATGCAGTATATGCACTTTGAGGAATTAAGGAAATAAAATTACCAGATTTTACTAATTACATGACATAAAGTCATGATTTTATTAAGGACACGGAGGCGAGTATTAGGCTTATCTCTTTTTTTATTTCTCAGCAGCAATGAAAGGATATTGATATTTTAATATAGCAATAACAAGAAAAACACAAAATACCCTTAAGGGTTAATCATATAACACTCCAAACATATTAACCAATAGGATCAGTCCTTGTTCTATATCCCCTCATGTGATCTGATCCACTTCCTCTTTCTAGCTGACGCCGAAGCTGAACACATCAAACGGTAGAACGATTAACTTGAACTGTCTCAAGTAGATGATTCAGTGAATGTCTTCCAGTGTATTTAGGGAAAGCGAGGGTAATCCCGAGTATTCCATTATACGGTTAAGCTGCAGAAGACAGAGAGACATGTGGTAAAATATATTCAAATATCGTTGTCATACATATAAACTGTGCAACGTTTTTAAGAAAACTGCTATATCTTACATCATTTTTACTTGAAACCAGCCAATAACCAAAAATCAAATCATTAATAGTATAAATAACCCTTCATTTGAACATCCAAATATTCCTACCTGTTTATCGGTAATTGGGTGGGAAACATAAAGTCTATGACTTACCTGTCATTGGGCGGGCTCATACTCGCCTCCGTGTCCTTAATAAAATCATGACTTTACTTCACGTAATTAGTATAATCTGGTAATTTTTATTAAAGGACACGGAGGCTCATATTAGGCTAGTTTAAAGCTGTGAGATGACCATAGTCGAGATATGTTCTGTTGTCTTAAAATAGTATTCTTTGAACGTTGATTCTCGGGACCAGTCCGCTGTGCGGAGAAGGTCCTCCAGTTTACAACAAATTGAGAATGCTTTTGAGGCCATAGTGCCTCTAGTAGAATGTGCTCCGTAGATTGATGTGTCGATGCCCGAAGCTGACATTATCCATTTCACCCAGCGTGCCAGAGTTACCGTGGATACTGGGTGGTGAGGTTTTCTCACCGCCAAGAATAGGTCGTGTGCTGTTGGGTTCCGAACTGACTGGGTCAGTTTTTCATATTCCTGAAGGCATGCTACCGGGCAGAGGTTATTAATGTGCAGAAAGGATGGATAGAAGATTGACGTGATTTTTGACTTTGTACGTCCATCGTGGGTAGCTGAAATTGCCGATCTATACACATTTATGGTGCGATAGGCCAAGCCTTGATCATACAGGGTAGTGAGGAAATTGAGTACATGGTTTACAGGAGCACGTAGGGGATCCACATGTCGTTCCAGGCACCAACTACACCATGCGTTCCAGGCATGAGTGTAGGATCGTCTTGTTCCTGGGGCCCAAGTTCCTGCCAATAAGTCCAGAGTTGTTTGTGAAACATTTGGCATTGTCCAGTGTCCCCAGAGAGGAGCCACGCCAGGAGTCTGAGGTGGCCTTGCACCATAAGTGGGTGAGGGTCCCCATGTGGATCTGATAATAGTTCCGTGGATCCTGCGATCAATCTGGGGAGGTCGATAGACATTTCCATGAGTGAAGGGAACCAAGGCTGTGCTGTCCAGAAAGGTGTTATTAAAACCAACGATGTTTGGGATCGTTGTAGGTGTAGGAGAGTTTGTGCTATGAGTGAGAAGGGAGGAAAAGCATATAGCCGATTGCTCGGCCAGTGCTGTAGGAAGGGGTCCACTGCTATGGTGTCTGTGTCCGGTCTCCAACTGAAGAATGAGGGAAGTTGAGCGTTCAGCCGGGTGGCAAAGAGGTCGATGTGTATCGGGCCCCAGAGTTGCTGGAGTTTCTGGAATATCGTGTGATTCAATCTCCAGGCGCTGTTGTCTCATAAATGTCTGGAGTTCCAATCTGCTACGGTGTTGGAAAGTCCTGGGAGGTATTCTGCCTCTACTGATATGTTGTGGCTCAGGCAGAAGTGCCAAAAGTCTTTTGCTAGGTTTGTGAGTGTTGACGATCTCATGCCACCGAAGTGATTGATGTTGTACACGGCCGAGATGTTGTCTGCTCGTGTCGGATTCTATGATGAGATCCGGGGTGGTCCCAAAGATCGCCTTGCCGTTCCATGCTTCCATGTGTTGTAGCCACCACGCTAATTCCTCTTTTGCTGCGCTTGCCTGCACAGAATCTGAGTAGGAGTGACCCAATCGTAGGTGGGTGGCTTTGAGTTGTTGTAGAGCTCTGTAGTGGAGAGGTCCTGGGAAGATCGCTTATATGGAAGCGGAGAGCAGGCTAATTATACTGGCTAGTTGTCATAAGGTCAGGACTGGTCGTGACATCAGATTTAGTTCTTGATGAGTTTTACCTTCGTGGTAGGTAGACTGAGCGTTCCGTGAATTGCATCTATATCGAAACCCAGAAACTCTATCGATTGGGAAGGTTGCAGTATTGACTTGTCCCAATTGATTAGGAAACCCAGGTTTTGCAGCAGGGTCAGAGCCCAGGTTAGGTGTTGGTTCAGTAGATGTATGTCGTTGGCCATGAACAGCATGTCATCGAGGTATATGATCATACGTACACCTCTGCTGGGGAGAAGGGCAACTACCGGTTTCAGCAGTTTGGTGAAACACCACGGGGCTGAGGATAGGCCAAAAGGGAGGCATCAGAAATGCCAGATCGTCTTTTCCCATTGGAATTGAAGTAAACGGTGGCATTCCTTGGAGATTGGTATCGTGAGGTATGCATCCTGGAGGTCCAGTTTTACCATCCAGTCTCCCAGTCTTAGGAGGTCCCGCAGGCAGTATATTCCTTTCATCTTGAAGTGATGGTATGTGACAAAGGTGTTGAGTGGCCGCAGGTTGATTACTGGTCTCATGCCTCTGCCTTTCTTGGGCACTAAGAAGATGTTGCTTAGGAAACCGGGTGCGGTAATTGGGACTTCGTAGATCGCACCTTTCATTTCTAGTGTGCAGATTTCATCTGTTACCAGTTTTTTGTCTCGTGGGGAAAAAAACAATCCAATGTGGTAAAGAGAATTGAATCGGTTGTTGTGTGAATTCGATGTGGCAACCTAGGATGGTCTCTAAGACCCAGGCACCTGATTCCACGTGGGTGCCATGATCTGCCCCTGGTCGAGAAGAATGGCGACTGTGTCCTGGGTTCGGGAGGGTGGAACCTTGGTGTGGTGGAGCCTTGGAAGCCCCGGTGCGAAGTCCGGGAGGGGTGGCCGGACAGACGGTCCCGTTGTCTGCTGGCCCAACCGAAAACCCTCTGCGAGAACACACGCTTTATATTATTTTGTGCCTTATCTAGTGCCGTAAACGTGCTCACATAATTGCCCAGGGTTTTTACAAAGTCGTCTCCGAATAGTAGACCTTTTGCCTGTGTGCCAGGCTCGGAAATTGCCAGATGTATCAGGCTTTTCGCCGTTCCGTAGCCAACGCTGTATGGGCGTTTCCAATTAGGCAAAAGCCTCTCTGGATCCATCCCCTGATGGCCAGTTAATCAATTGAGGTCCCCTCAGCAAGAGCATTTTCGACCAGATTTTAGCTATAGGCCCGAGAATGTCAAGGACTTTATCTTGGCAATGTTTGAGGGAGTAGTCTAATCCCTTTTTGGCCTTCCATCCCGACTTGCCCAAGAACTGGGCAATCTTGGGGTTACGCAGGCCATATCCGGGACTTTATCTTGGCAATGTTTGAGGGAGTAGTCTAATCCCTTTTTGGCCTTCCATCCCGACTTGCCCAAGAACTGGGCAATCTTGGGGTTACGCAGGCCATATCCGGGACTATAGGGCATTCTGCCCTCAGCTTGCTCCTGGTGGCCTTATCAAAGGGTTTTCTCACCCTGGAAGCTAATTTAATCTGAAACTGCCACGTGAGTTATGGGGTACCATTCCGCCGAGCGCGGGATGTGCAAGGTGTCGGGATCAAAGAGAGGTTCCCCCTGGGGATCCAAAATTGCGGATTTGTCCTCCTCTTGGTCAGCGTCTATCGCTGGGGTTGCAGTCTCGCTGCATTCAGGGGACGAATTGTCTGGGTCAACCGGGTCGATGGCATTGGACCCATCTGAGACCTCCTCTGAGTCCGAATCGGAGTTGGATGAATCAGGTAGTGCTTTTGCCCTCTTCCAATTCCGCACAGCTTTTGCCTGGTGGGGGGCTCTTTTTACGTGGGAGCACCACGTCCTCATTCTCAACAGGGCGCAACCTGTCCGTCACACTGGTTTTGGAGGTAACACCAGTTATATGGTGTGATTTGCATGTGGCCTTGCGTCCGCTACTACTTTAAGCAGAAATGTTATTATACCGGAAATAGAGCGGAAGCATTAATGACGAATAGACTGAAAAAAGATAAATCGAAAAGAGTCATTACTAAAATCATCCATAAGGGGGAGACTTTACTGAGGCTGGAAAAAATAGCAGAAGCCTTCAAGAATTATTATCAGAAATTATATAATATCCAGGATCCAATTAAAAAGGCGAATATCAGTGAATTCCTTGGGAACATTAATAGTCCAAAAATTACGCATACACAATTACAGGCGCTGAATAAAATATTTCAAGAAGAAAAACTGATCTTTTACATTAACAAATTAAAAAAGAATAAATCCCCAGGGCCAGACGGATTTGACAATCTCTTCTATAAATTACTAAGAGATAATATCAAAATGGATTTAAGTGAAGTCTTCAATTCTTTCGGAACACCTAATAGCATACCGGCAGAATTGCTGCAAGCAAATATAGTACCAATCCCTAAGCAAGAAAAGGATGTAGAAAAAATAAAGGATTATCATCCAATCTCTCTTTTAAATACTGATATTAAACTGTACTCGGCCATGATAGAAGAACGTTTAAAAAAAATCATACCAGAGGTGATTAATAGAGATCAAGTTGGGTTTGTGCCAGGTAGGTCATAAACACATAATATCAGAAGACTAGTTGACATTCTGAACTCCGTACGGAAGATGGGAGCTCCCATGTTGACCCTGTCACTGGATGCAGAGAAAGCATTCGACAGGGTCAACTGGGAGTTCATGAGGCAATCACTACAAGCATTTGGACTGGAGGGAAGACTTCTCGAGAATATCTCGGCTCTATACACTGTACCAACAGCAAGAATTTTGGGAAAGGACTTTAGATCAGAGTGGTTCCCATTGTCCAATGGAACAAAACAGGGGTGTCCCCTATCCCCTCTACTTTACATAACATCTTTAGAACCTCAGGCATTAGCCATTAGACAAGAAGAGAAAATTTCAGGTTTTGACCATAAGAAAGAAAATATAAAAATAAACCTATACGCCGATGATGTGATTATAACTATAGAAAACCCTCTACAATCAATAACACATCTTATGACAATTATAAAAAAATTCTCACAGGTTTCAGGTTATAAAGTAAATACAGACAAATCAACTATCTTAGCCAGTAATGTAAATACTGAAGAAAAGAAAGAGATAAGAAAGAGGTTTGATTTTGTCTGGGTTGAGAAATCATTTAATTATCTGGGAATAAATATTTGTACAGATCCACAAAAAATAGTTGAGATCAATTTTCTTCCATTACTTCTTAAAATAAATAAGCTCTTAAAAGACTGGAGAGCTCTGGAATTTTCATGGTAGGGCCGTATAAATATAATTAAATCTTATATCCTACCAAAGTGGTTGTATTTGTTTAGAATGATCCCTTTAAGAGTACATGATAGTTGGCATTTAATGAACCAACAATCCTTCTCCAAATTCATATGGCTAACAAAGAAACCGAGAATGGCAAAAAAAATTTTTAGCGATAAACCAAGTTCATGGAGGAGTAGGACTTCCAAAAATACAACAGTATTACCAAGCGAGTATTCTTTTTCACTGTATTATTTCACAACAGACAGAGTCTAAACTAGAAAGATGGTACACAGTAGAAAAATAAATGTTAAACAATAAAGATCTGCTAACTTTCTTTTGGTTCACTCAAAAAAGGAATACTGATAATAGCATAAAAGCATGGTGTTACAAGATATTAGAGAATTATGGAGTAAGATAAGGAAAAATCTGGGACTCAAAAATCGTATCATCAACATTTTACCGATCTTAATATTGGAAAATAACATGGAGGATCTAAATTTAAAGAATTGGAGCAAAACAGGTATACAAACTATAGAAGATTTAATGACAGGATCAAATCTCAAATCATATGAACAAATATGTACTAAATTTGCTCTTCCAGAAAGTGAAAAATACAATTATATAAGGATTAAAAGCTACTTAAATAAAGTACAAGATAAATAAAAATCGGAAGTTAAGTGTAAATTAAGCAATTTAATAAAGGGGAAAGATATGAAAAATCTACAAAAAAAAGTGCAACTCGATACTGAGACAGGGGGAAGAAGATCTTACATTCCTGGCCATAAAGAAATGGGAGAAAGATTTGAAAATTTTAAAAAAAAGTTTGATATAAAAAGTGGAAAAAATAATGGCTAACAGTTGCTAAACACATTAAATATTTAAACTTAGTGGAGTTGCATTTTAAGATAATAAGCAGACTCTATCTGGTCCCTAGCCGCCTAAATAAAATAGATCAGAACATATCAGACATATGCTGGAGGTGTGATAAAGAGGTAGGAGACTCGGTACACATTTGGTGGAGCTGTCCCTTGATGGAACAATTTTGGAAATTGTTTCTAAATAAAATTCAAAGAATAACTGGAACTAAATTCCCCTTCTCTCCTGAAATGTTTATATTGCACCTAAACTTTAGCCAATACAATTTGGATCTGCAATATTTCTTCACCCATGCTCTAATAGCAGCAAAGATCTCAATATCTAGAAGATGGAGAACTAAGATATTACCAAACTGGGAAATTGTAAAAAAACAGCTAATCCTACAATTAAAAATGGAAGGAGGTGTAAATAGAAATCTGAAGAATAAAAAGATTGTTGATATAGATAAATAGGGATAAATCTACAATACAATAATAACAGAAAAAAACATAGCATAATACTGTTGATGGAAAAAGAAAGAGTGGAAATATAGATGATAATTCACACTCACAAACCAAAATTGATTGTAGGCATATCTTATAGAACGATGAATATCTCAGGATAAGTGGAACGTCAGGATGTACATAGAAGGAAATAAAACAGCATAATAGTGCAGAGTATCTTGATAAGAAAATACACTTTAATAATAAGGCACACTTACAATATTGTAGTGGCAAACAGGCATATATGAAACCACCGGTCTTGGGATCATAGGATGAATCACAGGATCAACAGGATCAAATATAACCAGCAGGTCCAAATAAAATAAAATAAAACAACCTGATAAGATAATAAAAAACTCTAAAACACTATAAATGCTATAACAAAGCCCTACGCGTTTCGTTCAAACGTCCTTGAACTTCCTCAGGGGCAAAAAAGTCCTTCTTTATGCAGGCATAATTGTCCACATAATGTACCTTGCTTTTAAATCCGTCCGGTTTGGCGCGCCGAAAAAATCCTCCAATTGTTCACTTACTTCCGGGTTCGTCTATCTGTAGTACTTCCGGGTGCGACCTGTTGACGCAACCGGAAATGCGGCTCACGTCTCTCTTCCGGATCTCTATCTATGCGTTCCACCTGATATGCGTTCCACCTGATATGCGTTCCACCGCTCGAAGAGCGGAGAAAAACCACGATTAATAAGAAAAAAATTAAGAACATGTATATATATATATGTGATATTAATTATATTCATAATGATAATCTCAGAACATAACAATATTATCCAGATACTGTAAAACCTTGCCAATATTCTTCTTTTAATACAAAGTAAAAGATATGGCATAACAGATTATTATTATATTCCCAAAAAATACATAAAATTAATTAAGCAACATTGCTAAAAACATACATTTGTCAATATTAAAGCTATATACAAGAACAATGTAAAAGTGCAAAATTGTCAATTTAGAGAAAGCAAACCAAATCAAAGTCGACATTAAGTCCTCTAGGTTGCATTGTTTGTAGAGTATGTATCCAATATCCCTCTCTTTTTCTCAATAGTAACATTAGATCACCTCCTCTTTCATCCAAGGCTACTTGTTCAATGATGGTACATTGGAGGGTATTGAAATTAAAAGCTGGACATTTATTGCAGTGTACTGGCACTGAATGTGTCAACATATGATTTTTGATATTATTTCTATGCTCCTGGAACCTAATTTTTCCTTTCTTCCCGTTCTTCCCACATATTGCAACCCACATCCGCATGTGAGTAGGTATACAACATGTGTTGAAGAACAGG